AAAAAAAAAAAAAAAAAAAATAGAAGTAAACAAGAAAATGCCTAAAAATGGAGCATTGGTAGTTAGGGCCATGGAAAAAGATGAACCAGGCTGGGGGCTGAAGAGGCCAGTGGATGGTGGTGGGTGAGGACTATGGCTGTGTTTTAAATTAGGCTGATGAGTGGAGTTGTCACTGTTAAAGGGACATTTGCACCAAGACCCAAAACAGGCAAGGGAGCAAGTCTCCCTAGCAGGAGAAGAGCAGCAGATGGCTAGCAGGAGAAGAGCATTTCCGGCAGAGGAGCCAGCAAGGGCAGGTCCCTAGAGGTAAGAGCACGGCTGGCAGGAGGCTGTGCTGGCCGGGAGTGGTGGCTCACACCTGTAAACCCAGTACTTTGGGAGGCTGAGGCAGGCAGATCACTTGAGAGGTCAGTAGTTCAAGACCAGCCTGGCCAACATGGTGGAACCCCCAACTCTACAAAAAAATACAAAATGATTTTTGTATTTTTGGCATGGTGGTGGGCGCCTGTAATCCTAGCTACTCAGGAGGCTGAGGCAGGAGAATCACTTGAATCTGGGAGGCGGAGGTTGCAATGAGTTGAAATCACACCACTGCACTCCAGCCTGAGCAACAAAAGCAAGACTATGTCTCAAAAAATATATATATACAAAAAAAACATGCAGCTATCATGGAAAGGCAGATAGCTTAGGGCCTCCTAGCCAGTAAGAAGTTTGGGTGTTCCTCTGAGTGACATTAGAACCCGTGTAAGGTTTTAAGCAGAGAAACAGCATAATCCATGTTTTCAACAGCTCCCTAACATGAATACCAAAGTTTGCACATCTGCCAGCCCCTCTCAAGGTAGCCTCTGGGCTCCCGAGTTTGGAATTCTTTGGGGACCAAAGAATACGTCTCGGTTTGGGCATCTCCCTTCCTCCCTCCCTTCAATAAAGGAATAAAAGGAAAGGCTCCAACCCACCAGCAACAGGGGGCTACAGCTCAAAACTGGCCCCAGCGGCTGAATATCTGAGCACTGCAGCTAGCCTACACATTTCTTTGAATTTCCTATAAGAAACAAAACCCTTGCCAGAACCATTCTGTGGTTCACCTTTCAAGTTCTCCAACCACGGAGCCCTTGCCTCAGGCAGAGTTTGAAGTGAGCTATTTGATCATTCACTTGTTTCTCTGTCTCTAGCCTCAAAAAAAAAAAAAAAAAAAAAAGAAAAGAAAAGAAAAAGAAAAAAGGCTCTGGATGCAGAGCAAGGAGACTGTGAGTTTCCCAGCTTTCTAAGTCTTCACAGGGAACCGGTTTTGCCAGAGCCCTTCAGGCCGAGACTGAGGACACAAAGCAGTTCACTTGGACCCAAAACACATGAAAGGGGTCAGAATGGAGCGGTCACTGAACCCCAGTTCCCAGAATTTACTCCTCCAAACCTTGCCCGGAAACAGCTTCCAAAAGCAAGTTACAAAGCGGCAGGGAATCCCACGCCCGTTCCCACTCCAGCTGGTTTTGAGTCGGGATCAGGCCTGTTGCAAGTCCCTCCCCCACCACCATTTGCCATATGAGGGAGAAAGAGTTAAAGGATCCCTGCTCCTCACATCTCAGAGACATAGGCTATGCCTTTGCCAACATCCCGCGATACATAAGTGGCTCCGGTAAAGGAGCTGCATATGCCTGTTAAACGTGAAGTTTCTGGACTGAAATGTGGAAGGCAGCATCCACCTCAGTCTTTCTACCGGTGAAATGGGTGAGATATCACCAGCCCTAGTTATTGCATAGAACACCTAGTCAGGAAGAAAAAGGAAACAGTGGGAGAGGGCTCTGTGAAGGGTTGGGTCCATCCAGAGGGCAAGAACAGGCCTTTGTATTTTGTAAGCCACCAGGTGCCTGCCCCTGCTCCGGGAAGTCACCAGAATGGAGACCACCGTGCAGGTCTCCACACTGCTCTGTCTGTGAGCGCCCCAGGGGCTGCTCCACTGGGCTTCCTTCCTCAGGCAGACAGGGAGGCAGCAGCAGGAGATGACCGGGTGGGGGTAGAGTGAGGGTGGGTGTTTAGCCCTGACACTTTCTGCCCACTGCCATGGGCTAGCTGCGTGTGCCCCAAGACCACAGCCCCATCATAGGGTGCTCCCTCACCCTGTCTTTCAGGCCTTGGGGTGGTTATAGCTCCCAGCAGTCACGGCCCTGCCCAGGACTGCGCCGTCCCTGCGGTTCCCACTATCCTGCCCGCACCATGTACACAAGCCCTTTAATAAACCCTCCCGTCGGGTGCGCCTTCCATATTCTGCACGGCCCTAACTGATGCTCACCCTTTCTCTAACCTCCATCTCACATGCAACCCTGTTTTGCAAATGAAGAAACTGAGGTTCAAAGAGTGGACTGGCTTGCTGGAGTCCAGAATTTGGGCTCTGATCCCATTTGGTGACCCTTCCCTGGTACTCTGTGGCCCCAACACCGTGAGCTGAGAAGCGAGTGTGTGAGGGTCCAGCCCCCTCCAGTTCCCTACTGGAACACTTAGCCGCTACCTCTGTCTCCTTCTCTGCTGCTTCAGGGCGGAGAGGGGCAGCTCCCTGTGCCTTCCGGGTCTAGAGGGTCCATGCCTAATGACAGTGGCCACCAGGACAGCAGCCTGCCTTTAGCTCATCACCTCATTTAGTACTCATAACAACCTCATGAGGAAACCAGGCTTCAAGAGGCTTTGACTTGCCCAGAGCCAAACAGCTTGAAGGTAGGAGGGCCAACGTTTGCACCCGGGCCATCTGACCCCATTACTTACCATCCTCACCACCGCCTTCTACCGCACACCTCCAGCCCTGCTGATAGGGAGGCAGCCACGTGTGTAAGCTGGGGTCTGTGATACAGTTGTGTGTTCTTCCACACACATGTCCAGCCGCGTGACCACAGGTCCCCCTGAACACCAAAACCTCTTTGTTTACTAGCCGTGTCGCTCTGGACAAATTGCCTAACTTCTCTGTGCTTTGGGTTTTTAAATCAGTAAAATGGAGATCATGGTACTTACCTCGGAGGGTCCTCGAGAGGATTAATTGACCTCACTTGTGTAAAGTCCGTAGAGCAGGTCCTCACGCATAGAAAGGGCTCAGTCAGGGTTCACTACGGTTATTACTGCTGCTGTTATTTTTACTGCCACTATTTCCCAACTCACCAAAATTCTCTCCCCCCCAGATGTCCATCTGGGCATCATATTTTCCCAAGTGGTTAAACCAGGACTTGTCAATCACGAAGATTCCTCCAGCTATGACAGGCGTCCTAGGAGCAGGGAGAGGGAAGAGGTAACGCATGAGCTGGAGAAGCAAGGAGGCCCTTTAGATGGCCCCAGGACTCAAGACCGCCTGCCTCTAGATCCCAACCTGCAGTCACTGGGGCAGGATGCTAGACAGCTCCCTGGCCCCCCACATCTCTTCCCGTGGCCTCTGTCCTCCTTGTCCCTCCAGACAGGGTTCGAGGGCCCAGAACAGAGTCAACACAGTCAGTGCACCTCAGGAGCCCCAGCCACTGATACAGCCTCCCAAGAGCTTCCCAGGCCCCTGGCCCAGGGAAGAAAGGGATTCCCCCAGAGCCCACAGCCGCCCTGACCTTATGGGCCTGGTGGGGTCTGTCCGGGTCATCTTCTGCTCAAGAGGGATCTGCTCCCACTTGAAATGCAGGCTCCAGTCGAACCCTGAGGGACAGAGCAAGGTGAAGACAGAGCTCAGGGCAGAGCTGCGGGCTGCTGAGCCCTTTCACTCTGCCACCCCTCAGAGTCTCCCTTGATCAGAGCCCTGGGCTCTTCATGCAGACCCTCCTTCATCGGAATGAGCAAGCCCCTCCTCTCAGGAAGTGTGCCATCTACTGGGTAAGACAGACACTACAAAGATAAATAAATCAATGGAGAATATGTCAGCTGGGGGTGAAAGTACTAAAAAAAAAAAAAAAAAAAAAAAAAAGAAGAAAAAAAAAAAAAAAGAAAAAAAAAAAAGGAGGAGTGCCCATACTGTTAATATTTTAGTTAGAATAGTCAGGAAAGGCTCTCTTGCGACTTTGGAGTGGAGGCCTGAATGAAGGCCGGATCCATGCAGATATCTGGGGAAAGGGAATTCCAGGCAGGGACAGCTGCCAGTACCAAAGCCCTGAGGTGATTTCCCAAAGGGAAAAAGCCTGGCTCCCTTCAGAATCCCACCCACGCTCAAGATCTAACTAATGGCTGGGTCCATATAGTGGGAGTCCAGATCCCACACAGGAGATGCACTGTGCCCACCAGTTCCCAGCAACAGATTCTTTGGAGCAGCGCAGTTCCATAGCCCTCTCTGTAATGATGGAACGTTCTGTATCTGCATTGTCGAATATGGTAGGCACTAACTTCATGTGGCTACTGAGCCCTTGAGATGTGGCTAGTATGGCTAAGGAACGGCCTTTTAAGTTTTATTTAAGTTGAATTAATTTAAATTTAAGTCGCCAAAGGTGGCTATTGTCTACTATACTAAACAGCCCAGCACAGTCCAAAAGAAATATAATACGAGGCACAAATGTAAGCCAAATATGTAATTCAAAATGTTCTAGTAATCACATCAGAAAAAGAATATATGAAATTAATTTGAATGAAATATTTTAATGTAATATATCAACAATATTGTCATTTCAACATGTAATCAATATAAAAAATTACTAACGAGGTATTTTACATTCTTCCACACTAAGTCTGGGAAGCCTGGTGGGTTTTCTACGCCTACAGCACATCCCAATTCCAACGAGTCACTTTTCAAGACTAGTCACATTTCAAGAGCTCAGTAGCCAAATGTGGCCGACAGCCTCCACACACTGCACAGGTCTTGACCATCTCTGGGGTGCACATGTTAGGAAGTCATGCAAAGCTGAGGGCTCCCCACTCCCCATTCTCGGGAAAGCTGTCACATCGTGGCCTCCTGCCAGGACTTGTGGCCATGATCCCTAGGCTGGCAGCATTTAGGGAAGAATGTGCTGATGTTTGGAGGGAGGGAAAGGTGAGAGACTCATCTGGCTCTGCTACTGATTGCACCAGAAGCCTGCAACCACCAGCTCTGATCCTTTGTCCCCAGGCCCAGGGCTGCACCCAATCCTCTTCATTTTCTCTTCGGAGGTGGTGGAAGGGGGGCCATGAGGCTCTCTGGCACAGCTGGAAAAAGCAGCAAGCCAGGGCTTTGGCCTGCCTGGCCTCTCCTACCTCCTTTCATGTCTAGAGCCCTCACCTGGGAGCAGAACTCACCTCCGCGAAGGTCAGCAGATGCTGCAAGGTAGGCAAAATTATCCAGACTGATGACATCAATGATGGGACTCACCACGCGGGTATGGTCCTAGGAGAGAGATGCGAGATGGTATGAGGCCTGGGACTCCTCTGCAGAAAAAGGCCCAGCTGCCTGCTCTGGGGAGAAGGCCTCTCTGAGACATGGGGCACTGAGTACTTCCTGTAGTACTTCAACCCTTGCAGGCTCCTGGCAGCTGTCCTGTATCACCACACCTTGGCTCCTGGATGTTCCTGCTTGGCTCCCATGTGCTCTCCCAGCCTCTTCCTCACACATAATTTTGAGCCCTGCTAGAATGTCACCTCCTCCATGAAGCCTTCCCTGAGTGCTGCAAGCTGAAGGATTTTTTTCCTCTTTTAAGCTGCTTTCACAATGACAGCCTAGACAATTCCTGGGACAGTGACTCATTGTGCTGCCTGAGGTGGCTCTTCTATTTCTGGTCTGAACTGTTGTTTTACTAATATCATTTACCTTTGTATAATAGTTGTTTGAGTCTTCCCAATGGGACCACTAGCGGTTGGAGGGCAGGCGCACTGTGGTCCCCACGTAATCTGTGTGCTGTCCCTCTCATACCATATCCTCTACGAGGTGAGTCCTGCCACTCCCAGCATCGTCTCCCAGAACACAAATCCAAATCCAAAACCCTGGTGAATAATGTTGATTTTGCTGGCCTCTTTTTTTGGGTGGTAGATTACATCATATGCTACATGCAAAACTTTAGCACCCTCATGAGCCTTCTCTTCTTTCGCCCTCCATAGGGGACACGGAACAGAGCCTCTGTCTTCCCTTTCTCTACTTGGCTTTCACCCCCCAGATCCTCTTGTCTGGAACTTGGAATCCAGCTCTGCCCCTCAGTTCCCACCCTCTATCAGGATAACAGAAGCCTGGGCTGGGGCTGGTCAGCGGGGACCCTTGATGGTTTCAGTGCCCCGGGGAGGGCCTCACCTCAGCCTTTTTATGGACTTTTTTGTGCTGAGATATAAAATCACAGTTGTAAAGTACTCAATTTGATGGTTTTAATATATTCATAAGATTGTACAACCATCACCACTATCTTGTTCCAGAGCATTCTCACCATCCCAACGAGAAACTGAGTCTACTTTCTATTCCTATAGATTTGCTTATTCTGGACATTTCATATGAATGGAATCATTTTCAAAGTTCATCCATGTTGAATGTTGAAGCAAGTATCAGTTCTTCATTTTTTTTAATGACTGGATATTAAAAATATATTCTGTTGTATGAATGTATCACATTTTATTTACCCATTCATCAGTTGATAGGCATTTGGATGTTTTTCTACCTTTTGGTTATTCTGAATAGTGCTGCTCTGAAGATATTGTGTGAATATATGTTTTCATTTCTCGGGTATACACCTAGCAGTTCCACTGCTGGGTCATATGGTAAGTAACTTATGTCCAAACTAGAGCTGCCAGACTGCCTCCAAAGTGGCTGCCCTGCTTTACATTCCTGCTGGCAATCTATGAAGGCTCCTAATATGGTTTTGGGTATTTATCCCACCCAAATCTCACATTGAAATGTAATCCCCAAAGCTGGAGATCAGGCCTAGTTGGGGATGTTTGGGTCGTGGGGGTGGATCGCGTATGGCTTAGTGTTGTCTTCGTGATAGTGAGTGACTTCTCATGAGATATGGTTAGTTTTGAAGTATGTAGTACCTCCTCCCAACTCTCTCTTGCTGTCACTCTTGCCATGGGAGGTACCTACTCCTCCTTCACCTTCTGCCATGATTAAACCTCCCTGAGGCCTCCTCAGAAGATAAGCAGATGCCAGTGCCATGCTTGTACAACGTGAGCCAATTAAACCTCTTGTTTTATAAGTTACCCTGTCTCCGGTATTTCTTTATAGCAAGAACGGCCTGATACAGCTCCTGTTTCTCCATGTCCTTGCCAGCACTTGTTATTGTCCATCTTTTTGATTCTAGCCATCCTGGTAGGCATGAAGTGGCATCTCATTATGGTTTTGAGTGCATTTCCCTAATGACTAATGACGTTGAGCATCTTTTCCTAGGCTTATTGGCCATTTCTATATCTTCCTTGAAAAAATGTCTACTCAAATTCTTCACCAATTATTTTTTGAGATGGAGTCTTGCTCAGTGGCCCAGGCTGGAGTGCAATGGTGTGATCTCAGCTCACTGCAACCTCCGCCTCCCAGGATCAAGCGATTCTCCCACCTCAGCCTCCCAAGTAGCTGGGACCACAGGCACCCGCCATCATGCCTGGCTACTTTTTATATTTATGTAGAAATGGGGTTTCACCATGTTGGCCAGGCTGGTCTCCAACTCCCGACCTCAGGTGATCCACCCGCCTCAGCCTCCCAAAGTGCTGGGATTACAGGTGTGAGCCACCACTCCCGGCCCCTTTGCCAATTTTTTTTTTGGGCGGGGGGACGGAGTCTCATTTTGTTGCCAGGCTGGCATGCAGTGGCGTGATCTCGGCTCACTGCAACCTCTACCTCCTGGGTTCAAGCAATTCTCCTGCCTCAGCTTCCCTAGTAGTTGGGACTGCAGGCGTGCACAACCATGCCCAGCTAATTTTTGTATTTTTAGTAGAGACAGGGTTTCACCATATTGGCTAGACTAGGCTAATCTTGAACTCCTGACCTTGTGATCCACCCACCTCAGCCTCCCAAAGTGTTGGGATTACAGGCGTGAGCCACCACACCCGGCCTACCCCTTTGCCAATTTTTAAATTAGGTTATTTGTCTTTTTGTGGTTGGGTTATAATCTCCTTATCCTTTCCTGCCATCTGTCCAAATCCTCCCCGTTCCGGAGAACAGTAGGCAAGTGGCAGGAGACCTCCTATCCTCTCCTCTCTTTGAGAGCAGCATCTCTCCTCCCTCCTGCAAGGGTTTGCAGCCCGACAGAAGCTCTCCCAGGACAGGACCCTAACTCTCCCAAGAGAAAAACAACACTCATTTGTAGGAGGAGCTTTGTGGCTCACCCAGGCTTTCATCCAGTTTCATTCTCACAACAACCCAGTTGTAAAACAATTATTACAATTATTACAGTTATCCCCAATTTCAGATGAGAAAACTCAGTAAGGAGAAGTCACCCATGGGGAAGCAGACTATTTGGGTTTCCTACGATGCCTGCCCTGCTTCAAAGACTGTCCCATAGATCTCAGTGCTGGGAACATAGTGGCTGAGTCCCCAAGGACCCCTAGCTCCCCAGAGACAGCAGCTCACCTCCTTCACCCGCTGCAGCATGGGCTGAAGCCACTCCGTGTTCACTTCGCAGTGGCTGTCCAGAAAGGTGAGGACAGTAGCTGCGGCCACGTCCGCCCCACGCACTCGGGACCGGATCAGCCCTGCAAGGGGAGTAGACAGGGTGTGGCACTGGGACTGGGCCAAGTGGCTTCCCACCTGTCCCCCAAAGTCCCAGGGCTCTCCTCTGCTCCAGGGACTGAGGTTTCCAGAGTTGTTGTGATTAGATTTGACTTTGCACTTCTGCTTGCTTTCTGCCTCCCTCCCTTCTTCTTCTTATCGGTCCATCAGCCATCATCACTCCAGGGTCACACCCTGAGTGCCCTCTATGTGCCAGTCACTGTCTGGGCTCTAGGGACACACTGATGAACAGTCACAGCTTACAGCGTGGAAAGTGCAATCAAGTATAGTTTGATCCTAAAGGAGAGCCAGAAAACAAAGCTTTTTCCCGTGGGAACCTCTGAGGGGTCCCCTCCAGCTGTGTCCTGGAGCCTCCACCCTACACATATTCCATATGTGTAGCATGGAGCTTATCTTCGAGACTAAGACAGGCTTCGGTTTGTATGGCGGCCCCTTCCTTTCCCTTCAGCCCGTTATTTTACTGCTCTGAGCTTCAGTTTTCTTATCTATAAGATTCAGAGAGATAATAATCCCTGACTGTCAGGATCAAACAAGACAACAGGGGGAGGAGAGCTTGGTGCCTGGGAGACCCACACTCATCAGATCCTGTTCTTCTGTGCCTGTCCCCCCACAGCCTCACCAGCCTCATTTTGGGCAGCTCTCTGCTCCGGGCTGGGACCTGCCTGGTCAAGAGGGAGGAGGCTCAGCTGCTCCTGCCCCTGCCAGAGTGGCCTTGCGTGCCCTGTGAGCTGTGGGAGGGAAGGGCCTCACTCTTAGAGCCCTTAGCACAAGCAGCTCCTTGGAGACATTTCCCTGGCCACGCCTCTGCTCCACACTCTGCTTCTAGCTGTCTACCAGCCCGCCAGCCAGCCAGAAGCCTGTCAGTCTCCACTCCAGAAGTGTCTACAAAGCATCTAGTCATAAATTTACATTTACTGTTGGCAAATCCAGCATATTCCCAGACCTGATGGTACCTACAACCCAGTAGCTTGGGAAACATTTGACTTTGGCCACTTACATTCGGTTTGAAGATCTCCCTCACTGATATCCTGGTGGCCCCTTGGCCTGACTGGTCTTTCTTTTCGTTCTTTCTTCCCTTCCTCCCTTCCTCCCTTCCTTCCCTCTCTTTCTTCCCTCCCTCCCTCCTTCCCTCCCTTCCTCCCTCCCTCCCTCCCTTTCTCTCTCCCTTCCTTCCTTTCTTTTTTCCTTCCTTCCTTCCCCCTCTCCCTCCTCTCTTTCAGACTGAGTGTTGCTCTGTCACTCAGGCTGGAGTGCAGTGGCGAAATGGCTCACTGCAACCTCCACCTCCCGGGTTCAAGTATTCAAGTGATTCTCCTGCCTCAACCTCCCAAATAGTTGGGCTCACAGGTATGCACCACAACACCCAGCTAATTTTCGTATTTTTAGTAGAGACGAGGTTTCAGCATGTTGGCCAGGCTGATCTTGAACTCCTGACCTCAAGTGATCTGCCCGCCTCAGCCTCCCAAAGTGCTGGGGTTATCTTAAATATATCTGTCACATCCCGCTCTCACTCTAAAAGCTTCAGTGGCTCCCTGTTATCTCTGCCTTATGAAATCAGTGCTTTCTTCTGGCTTCCAAGGTCTTGTGTCATCTCAAATCACTATACCCATTCCGTTCCCCCTGCTGACCAGGCCTGGGGTCTGTCAGGAAGGGAGTCTGAGCAGAGGGCGGTTAGGAGGCTGGCCTTTGGAGTGGGCCCCACAGGTTGGAACCCTAGCTGCTCTATTCATCACCCTGGGCAAATCGCTGAAGCTCCTTAAACACGTTTCTTTGTGCAACGGGCACAGTGGGATGAGCATAAGGACTGAATGGAGCGAAGTGGATGCCGCAGGGGCGGAGCCCTGTATTGCACATGTCCATACTCCTCACTGACGCCTTTGCTTGCAGAGTGCACACGCCAGCATGCCCTCCCTTACTCCCCTTTGCCTGTCTCACGATGTCCCCACACCCCGCTGAGGCCCATTCCTCCATGGAAGCCTTCCCTGCTCACCCCAGCTCTCCTCCAATCTCCATGCTTTTCATACACAACCACAACAGCATGTGGCTGCAGTGGATTCTGACCCCTGGCTATGTAGCAGGCCCTTGGAGGGCAGGGACCGCGCTTTGTGCTTCTTTCGTGTCCCCTAGAGTGCCATGCACAAAGCTGTGCCATGGTTGCTACTCTGAAACACGTCTGGATTGTCAGTGAGGTCACCTCTGCTTTCTGCTTCTGGATGTTCTCAAAGCCTTTCCACACAGCCTGTCTCACGCAATCCTTACAATCACCTTGCAAGGCAGAAAGGGACTGTCTTATCGCACTTCTCAGGAGAGGCAGCTAAGGGAGTCAGAGACGGAGCCTACAGCTGTGCCTGGATGGGGCTGATCTGGGAAGGAGGAGAGTCTTCCGCAGGGCCTGGTCCCAGCCATCAGGAATGCAGCCGGCCATGCTAGCTTGGTGAGCCACGGCACCAAGAGAGAGTGGGGAGGTGCAGAGCATGACACCAAGACGGGCCCTCGGTGGGACCCAGGGTGCAAGGACCCACCTTCCCGCCTGTCGTTTCGCAGGCACTTGACCTTGGGGATCCTGGTCAGGAGCAGACAGTCTTCCGCTGGGGATGTAGAGAGGAAAGCAAGCTCATTTAGACACGGGCATCAGACCACAAGCGGTTGGCTGCCATGAAAATTGCCCTATGCTAAGCCCAGGAAAGGGCTGGGGATGGGCATGGGGAAGGGTATGGTCATCATTGCTGGCTGAAGGGCTGCCCTGCCCCACTCTCAGACCAGACTGAAGACTGCCTGTGCCTATGGCAGTACTCCACTCAACCACAGGGGGCATCAGAGAGCACGCTTGGGGGTGGCTCCCAGCCCAGCTGTCAGCTGCATTTGGCAGTGGTAATAATGAAGGATGCTGTTGATTTTCTTTACTTTTTCTTAAGGATCATCTCACTAGTGTCCCATCCAAAGCAACACCCACCCTTCTTTCCCTCACTTTGACACCAGGGAACAGGACCCAGGAGGGGTCCTAGAAAAGACAGGATCCCCACGGGGGGCACAGAGGTCAGTCTGTGATGGCCAGGACAACCTCAAGGGTGCCTGCCTTAGCTTTCTGGAGAAAGGGGGACGAGGGTGGAATGGAGGGCTGTGTTCATGATCTGAAGGTGACTACTCACGATCTGAACTGAAGTCATCCACTAAAATGATCTCCTGGATCAAGCTGGCAGGAGTTCGGTTCAGGACACTACAGTAGCAGTGGAAACAGAGAAGGAGCCTGGATTTAGGAACTACCTCCCATGTTTACTGCTGCCTGGGCCATGGGACTCCCCCGTCGCCCAGCTCCAGGGGGCACTCACGCTTTGCACTCCTACCTGAATCCCATTCTTGTCTAAGTTCATTGAGGAAATGGGGAGATGGGAGTTTAACTTGACCACAAGCCCAGGCTTCACAGGAAGAATCCACCTCCAATCCACCTCTCTCTGACTCACTGACAGGCCCTGCTGGGCTTCCATCACCCGGTCTAGCCCTGCCTCCCTCAGCTCCTGACGCCTGCATTTCTGCCCTTGTCCTGGACACCTAACCTGATCTTTGACTGTCGCATTCCTCTGACAGTTGGACCTAAGGGGTCTTTCTGGCCCTCATTCACCAGTGTCAGCTTCTCAGAAGGACAGGGCTCAGCCTTCCAGCACCTGGTGGGCTTCATGCTGTCTGGCCACAGCACCCGATCTCAGTGTCCTCCCCTGCCAGCACCACTGAGGTGAGCACCCTGTGGCTGGACTTACCTCTTCACCGTGCGCAGCAGGGTGGAGCGAGCCTCATTATGGAAGGTGATGATGACGCTGGTGGCTGGCAGGTCCGAGGAGTAAGACATAGACGGGCAGCTGAGAAGGGAGCACAGGCGTCAGAGGCCAGCCGTGAGGGCACCCTCAGGGCAGGTCAAGGTTTTTCTTTTTCCAGTCTATTGTGCCTGAGAATAATTCTGTGAGGCAGAGAAGGCACACCCAAAGCCAGGCCAGAGGCCCCCACACCCACCCCCATGCTGTATCCCACACTGGCCCAGAACCCAGATGCCACCCATCCTGGGGTCCTGGGAGGGAAGCAGCAGGCTGGGGGACCTTCCAAGGCCCGAGGGCTCTTTACCAGAGATCCAGAGCCCCCAGAGCCCCCACATCCACTGGCATGTTGAGTAGGGCTCCCTACTATGTGCAGGTACTGCACCAGGGCCCGGGTACAGCCCTGACCACACAGGCAGAACTCTCTGTCCTATGGTGCGGGGACACGCAGGAGGGAAAACCACCTCTTTGTTTGTCCTGACACCCTGGAGCTTCTTCCTTCTCTCCTTCCAGCTTAGGACATTTGTAGCATCTGCAGAGGAATTGCCCCTACCCTGGCTGCCAGGGAACTCCTCCCCTCTCCATGCCCAGCACTGACAGCCTTGCTGCAGACAACAGGCTGGGAGCAGTCTCGCTCCTCCCGGTGTCCTGGGTCCCCTGGAGGAAACAAGCCTCTGATAAGACACTAAAGGCCTATCCTGCCACCCTCTCCCTCCTCAGCCATCCACAGACATCACATTTTTTGGCCTGCCGGCTCCCCCTTCTCTAGAAAAGGAGCGAAAGCCATCCATTCCTGCCACACTTCATCCCTGTTGTTTCTGCGCATGCATTTATTTGCGCTCCTGGGGCACTGGAAGGCGGCCGCTGTTGCTGGTTTTCATAGCAATCTTATTACAATTGCTCTCTGACTATTCCAGCAGTGACTATTTTTTCATTATGTCATTCATTCCACTGACAGCAGCTTACAGCCCGAATTCCCAGGCCTGTTTCCTGCCCTGCAGAGCAGACTGGGTCAGACAGGCGGGAGTCCCACTAGCCTGGGACCCAATGGGGGAAATATTGAGACGCTGTGTAATAGTTCTCCTTGAGAGGAGGTGTGGGGTAGCGGTGGCGGAAAGAAATTTGCCTTCTGCCCCTTGAGAAACCATGTTGTTCAAGGGCATACAAATCAGGGGAGTGGGGCAGGAGCGAGCTTGGAGGCTGAGGCAGGGTGTGCTGGGAGCAGCAGATACCTCCTACATGTGCAGCCTCTCAGTGCTGACCTCCAGGGCCCCAGTCCTCTGTCCTTGCCTCCCAACCATCCGGTGCCCAGGAAGGAGGGAATCGGGGCAGTGACGTCTCCCTGAAGTGGGAAAACCCACCCACAGCCCATCTGAAGAATGAACATGGACTCCCCACTGCCCCCCCCAACCCTCTCCTCCATGCGTGCCTCTGGGATTGATATTACTGAGGATGGGGTTTATCTGGCTCCCAGGGACTGGGAGTCTCTACAGGGGTTTATCCCAGGCCTGCGTTTTGAGTTTGGGGTTGGTGGGGTTTTCTCTGTGATCCTCCTAGGGATGTCTTATGTGGTTTATGTCCCTTTGGTCCCCTTGAGGGGGCTCCGTAAATTGAGGGCTGGACCAGAAATGAGCCTGACAATTTGGAGTCCAGCGGACATTACAGCCTGTGGGGCTGCAGGGAAGAGCACTTCATACACATGCACCAGCTCCACCATGGTGGGAGGCCTGCCCACCAAAGCCAGCACGTCCTTTGCTCCCCTACACACACACACACACACACACACACACACACACACACACACACATACACACACACACACACCATGGGCCACCTCAGCTTTCTTTTTTTTTTTCTTTTTTGAGACAGTCACACTCTGTCACTCAGCCTGAAGTGCAGTGGTGCAATCTTGGCTCACTGCAACCTCGGCCTCCTGAGTTCAAGAGATTCTCCTGCTTCAGCCTCCAGAGTAGCTGAGATTACAGGTGCCCACGACAGCACCCAGCTAATTTTTGTATTTTTAGAGATGGGATTTCACCATGTTGGCCAGGCTGGTCTTGAACTCCTGCCCTCAAATGATCCACCCTCCTCGGCCTCCCAAAGTTCTGGGATTACAGGTGCGAGCCACTGTGCCTGGCCATCCTCAGCCTTCTGAGAGGGCCCCGCAGCAGCATCTGGCACCTCATCAACCCACCACTACCTTAGATTTAGAGTCTCATTTAAAAACGTACGAAGCCCCCACGGCAATTCCCCCTTTAAGTTTCTCAGTGAGCACCCGAGAATGTTCAGTCGGGTGGGCTGGGAGGGTGAACAGAGATTATCCAGGCGGAGCCCTCAGTTCATGGATCTGGGCCTACAGATCCTCCAGGCCCACAGATCCTCCAGGCCCTGGGACTAGGTCAGCCATGGCTAGGGCTGCCTGTGAAAGGTCTCCAAGTGGAACTACCAGGATGTAACCTCTTCTGCAGCGCAGGCAGACAGGAGGCGACACTGCCCAGGACTGAGTGAGAAAGAACTTCTGAGGCCCAGAAATGCCCAGGAGGCCTGGTGGGGCCCTTGCCGTGTAGGAGTACTGCCTTACTTGGCTGCACGAGTTGTTTCTGGAGGCTGACGGTGCTGGCATTACCGAACAGCGAGGCCGAGGTCTGGGGCTGCCCCAGCCCTGTGTTCATCTCACCCTGCACAGGCCACCAAGCACCCTGGACTTCAGCCATGCGTCTGTGAGTAACAAGGAAGGCCCCCTTGCACCCTCATCTCACCTACACCGTTTGTGCTGTGGAGTAGCTGCTTCAGAAGTAAAAGCAACCTTGATCCAAGTCATTGTTGCTACCCTCCAACCAGGACCGGACCAGACGGAGGCCCAGGCTGGCTCTGAGAACATAGCTGCCCGCCCAACTGTGGGTCAGCTCCAACAGTGTCCTGGCCGTTCTGTGAGATGTCTGCACAGAGCACAGACAAGGGGCCCGACCTAGCCGGGGTTGGCAAGGAGCCTTCCCTGGAGGAGAGGACGCTGAGCCAAGTCTTGAAGGCTGGGTGGGGGAGGTGCGTTTGGGCAGAGGAAACAGCCCCTGTGAAAGCAAGGAAGGAAGGAGGGAGGAGTCCGGGACTGCAGGACCGTCAAGTGCTGGGGGAAAGGCAGGTAAGGTGTGGTAAGGCGAGCGTGGTGCTTCAGCATCAGGAAGTCAGGCTGTTCCTGCAGCTGACGGCAGGAAGAGGAAAGACTGGAGATGGTGACTTTTATGCTCTAGACAGAACACGAGCGCCTAGACCCCAAGCAGGACTAATGACATGCTTAAGGCCGGTCACTCACAGTGAGCTGGGATGAGAGTGGAGGCTTCCCTGACCCTGGTCTCAGGCCTCTCCCACCTCACCTCACAGCAAGAACCAAGAACAAGACTGGGAAGCATTTCTGGGAGCTGCTGAGCAGGTGGGGCTGTGGAACAGGAGGAAAGGGAGATAAAGGATGTCCGTGGGGTGGGGCACAGCGCCGCACTGTTTGCAGTGGGCAGGGCTGTGCCCCCTCCCCTTTAGGCACCACCAGTAAGGCCCCAAGAGCGCCTGGCTCACCCACCCCCACGGCCCTCCTTTGGTCACCTCCCAGGTCACTCTTGCTGGGACGCCAGACTGAAGTGCCTTGGGGCCTCCTGGGCCTCAGCTGTGGTTTCCTTGGCCTTGGCAGGCCCTCAGTAGGTCAGGTGAAAAAGCAATGGAGCGTGAGGGTTTTTGAATGACTAAATCACTGGACGCAGTCTAAGGAAATCATCCTCATTTCTTAGATACACGTGAAAGAAGACAAACTAAACAGTGTTGGCCTTTTCTCAGCCTTTCTTCCTCTGCCGACGTGATGGAGGCCATACCTGTAATGGCGGGTGTCCCGGATGGGCCGGTCCGGGCTCAGCTTGTCACTCTCCAGCTGGTTGAAGGCATGCTGCCTGTAGGGGTCCTCTCCGGCCTTCAGCTGCTTGGCCGACAGGTAGGCCTTCTCATCAAAGCCTTTCGAGGGAGTTCCTGTCACCTGAGACGAAGGTCGGCATCAGAGAGGACCACAGGCAGGAGGACCCCACCACGTCGTGGGCGCTCAGCACACACCAGGCGGGAGCCAGCTGCGCAGCCTCATTTGGGCCTTACGCCAACTACCCACTCTGTGAGAGGGACACCATTATCTTCCCCATCGTACAGATGAGAAAACTGAGGCTCAAGAGGCTTTTTTTTTTTTTGGACACAGGGTCTCTCGTTCTGTCACCCAGGCTGGAGTGCAGTGGCAGCATCTTGGCTCACTGCAACCTCTGCCTCTTGAGTTCAAACGAGCCTCCTGTCTCAGCCTCCTGAGTAGCTGGGATTAGAGGCATGCACCCCCATGCCTGGCTAATTTCATAGTTTGGTAGAGATGGGGTTTCGCCATGTTGGCTAGGCTGGCCTTGAACTCCTGACCTCAAGTGATCCACCCGCCTCAGCCTCCCACAGTGACTTACTAGCTCTGACCTTGAATGCTTTTTTAAAAGCTTTTTAAAATCTGGATTTAAACTGCTCATTCCAACTCCAAAGCCCGCACTGACCAATGCTTTTTTCGGGATATCGGGAGGCTAGTGCTGGAGTGCACCAGACCTCTAAGGCCAGGTGTCCTGACGGGACTACTAACCAGAGCAGGACTGCCAACCCCTGCAGATTGACAGTCTCCGAGGGAAAAACCCAGACCTAGCCCTGGGCCAGGCATTATAAGAGGCACCCCATCAGTAAAACGCCAGAGCTTGGACAAGCTGCTGCAGAAAGAGCCACCTGTATGGACAGCAAACCCTCTCAGGCTGATGCCAGAGCTGCCAGAACTCAAGTGCACAGACAGTGATGCATCTTCTCTGGGACTTTTGCTTGCTCCTGAAATGGCCCCTGTAAGATCCACTGGTCCCCAGGTGCTAAGTGCTGGGCAGCGATGGATGGCAGATGACATCACCCATCCCCTTCCTTCATGACCACACCCTCCCCTGTACTCCCAGAGTCTCCAGCAACAGACACTGGGGAAGGACACGTCGAAAATGAATGGATGGATGCATGCATCCTGACATCTCATTACTTGAACTCAACTGCTGGCTGGATATTCTCCAGAGTGCCATGAAATATCATCAACTGTGGGTACATCCCAACTCCAACTTTCCACCCAACCATCAGCCCTGGGCTGAAGCTGTGGTCGCAGAGGAAACAGAAAGGAGGGTGAGAATTGACCACTCACAAAACTCTTGCATGAGGATGGATGCTAGTACAGCCTAGTCCTAGAGGGATGGTCCTGGCTGGACCTGTGGGGAGTGGACCACTGTGTGAAATGACACTGGGACTGTCCGCCAGCAGCTTGGGGCATCCATGTTCCCCTGAGAGCCTAGCCCCCAACCTCACTGGACAGGCATGCCCAGGGTCCAGGGAGCTCTTATCTCTGGCACTGCTGCCACTCTGCAGCGATGCTACCTTCTCAGGCTGCCTCCTGTTCTAGGAGCCAGTTGGTGGCTCCCCGAGGGCAGAACAGTGAGGGAGATGTCCTTGTGTCCATTGTGCCCACCCTATGCCAGACACAGATGCTCATGGGTAACATGGCTGTGGCTGCTGCGCTGGAACACTGAGGTGGTCCCATGGCAGAGACGGAACAGGTGTGGCAGAGCCCCCAGTGAACTCAAAATCCATTTCAAGAAAGACGGAAGGATGGAAGGAGGGAGAGAGGGAGAAAATCAATGTTCTGGCTTGAGCCCTGGATTTCTAGAAGGATCCAAGCTGTCCAGCTCTTAAAGTGAGAGTGAAAGGGAGAGTGATCCTTTGTGTCCTTCCCACCTGGGAAAGTGATGGATGCCCTCTTAGCTCCGGGTCAGGGAAATGAAACACAGCCTCCAGTTGATGGCAGAGGAGCTAATATTGAAGCAAAACTGCAGAGGAATGATTTGCTGAAGCTCCCAAAGGGAGAGTGTGCATTTCATTATCCTCCAGGTCAGCTGTGGGAAATAGCTATGTTTGTTTCTTTAGGACTTATGGCCACTTTGTGGGCTCAGCAAACCTCTGAATCCTCATCTCACGCTCATTCATTGCCAAGTGAACATTGACTGACAGTCACTCATCTACCAGGCACTGCGGCACCCTTCTGGATCACCTGAACCTGCATTCATTTGTTTATGAACACTTGCATTCACTCATCCATTCATTCATTCAACCAAGTTCCACCAAGTTCCTATGTGCCAGGAAGCACAAGAAAGATTTCTCAGACTGTTCCACTGCCCCACCCTGCTGCCTTCCCCACCTCATTCAAGGCTTCCTCAGGGCCAGGGAGAATGTTGCGGAAGAATGTCCGCTCAGGTCCAGGCTCTCTAGAGAAGTTCCTCCCAAGGCCTTGAAATTGAGTTAGACATCCTCAAAGATGCTATTGGGAAAAGTCTGCTGTTCCCTTCCACAAAGCCATAGTCCCTGGGTGGTCCAACCCCCATCCGGGTGGTATCAGGGTTTGGGGTCTGACTCTTCATCTGTGAGACAACTTGTGAGACAGGTGTCATGGAAACAGCAGGTGCACTCCTCCCAGAGGTCTTAGCTCTCCTTCCAGGATGACCCTGCTGACCCTTGGGGTTAGAGCTGAAACATCAGTTGGCCCTGAGCCAGCCAAGTGGAGGGGTTATGGAGGAAGGGTAGGCGTGGCTCCTGGCAATTCCATGAGCTCTTCAGGGCTTCCACCTCCTCTCTCCTCAGCATTCTCTGGCCTCGCGCCAGTCGCCACCCAGAGCTGTTCTGCTTCTAATATCCAACCCCATTTCTTATGCCCAGACCATAATCATTTCCTCCAAGCTCTTGAACTCCTCCTTTTGCCGTTAGTCCCATTCTTTGATCTTGAGACTTCAGGTCTTTGAATGTCCCGTGGGTGCCTCTAACTTGGCATTTCAAAACAAATTCCTCACTTATCCCAAAGCTGCTGCTTCTCCTGCTTCTCTGTTGCAGAGATGGGCAGTTCACCCAAGTCATGAATTCACAAAATCGCCCTTGATGCCCTCCTATGCTCCACAGGCTGATTCGATGTCTGCCCTGTATATTCGTAGACAGAGTACTTAATACCACCGGCATTAACTCAACAAATATTGACTGAAAACCTACTATGTACATACACTGGGTAAGAGGATGGGAATGTGGAAATATACAAAAGGCAACATGGGACCCCTAGAACAGGAATCTAAGCATCTAGTCCCTTCCATGCCCCATCTCATGCCAGGCTTGGCCATGGAAGATCAGGAAGAAGAAACCTCCAACCCAAGCTCAGAGCAGGGGTAGCCAGGGAACTGACCACAGAACTTCACCCCCACCCCACTCCCATTGGAGCAGGAGTCTGCAGATGTCGTGTGACCAGTGGATGCTATTTCCCTCCTCCCCTCTTCTAAATGGGAACTGTGCTGCTGCTATTCTGCATTCCATCCACATTGCTCACTAAGTGTATCGGCAAGGGAGTAAATGCATCATTTGGCTCTTGGCTGCAGGACCATGAGGAGCTATATCTGGACCAGCTCAAGAGACTAGAGATCCTGGGCTTGGAGCCACTGGATGGGACTGGCTTGGCTGCCCTCTCTGGAGGGGATGGTGAGAGTATTTTGGGCTGTCGATGGAATTCTTATGTCAGGCAGGGGCACATGTCACATGACACTGACATTTGTGCTTTACTGCTCTTTCTTTTCCACTAGATGGTGAGCCCTTCCTCATGGGGCTCCCTGCTCCTGGCACATAGTAGGTACTCAACAAGTGTTTGCTGAATCATGGAACAGACGAGTAAATGAATGAATACCTACATATTGTCCCTGCTCTCAGATGGCCTATAATCAATTGCAGAGAAAACAACAGCAAACAAATGGGACCCTCTGACACATCACATGGCCTTCAGTGACCCCTCTCTCTCACAGACTACAAGCCCCAAGCTCACAATAGCCTGAGGTGCTCTCTGGGCAGGTGTCACCTTGCTAAACTTGCTTCCCCTGTTGCCCCTTACACACTCTGCTCCAGCCACACTGGCGTCCCTTCTGTTCCTTCAGCCTGCCAGGCACCCTTCCTATAGGCTTCTTTCTGTGGAAGGCCGTTCTGTGTGGCTCTCTCCTTCATCTCCTGCAGGGCCCTCCTCAAACCTCACCTGCTCTGTGAACCTTCCCCGACCACCATCTGTAAGTTTGTGACCCCAACCCGACCCTTGCATTCCCTGTCCTCCTGTACTGTTTTACTTCTCCTATGGCACTCATCGCAATCTGACAGTCCATGTGTATTTTATTTATTTTGTTTTTGGCTACTTCTCCAAACAAGATTATAAGCTTCACCAGGGCAGGGGTTTTCTGTTTTGTCCAATGCTGAATTGCAAAGCCCAGAGCAGAACCTTGGTGATTGTAGGCACTCAAAAACAATAGCTATTGAATACATGTCTGATCTCAAGCCTCCCCTTCCCCTTCCTCCTTTCCCCACCATCCCTGCACCCTTGGCCAAATACAACATTGGAGACGGAGGTGGACCAAGCTGGTGTAGAGTAGTTTTTGCCTATCTTAGAGATCTTCTTCCCCACTCATAGCCTCCTGGTAGGACTGTCATTCACTGTCCCCTGTCCCACCAATACCCTAAGCACCACCACAAGGGTGAGCAGAAGACTCTGGCTAGGCCAATCTCATTACTGCACCTCTAGACACAGTGATTGATTCAGGAAAGGTCATTTGATTTGATCTGGGCCAATCAGAATCTTCCCTGAGACTTCTCTATACAATGAACTTTTTTTACTGCCAAGCGTGCAAAATGAGAATCTTCTTGTCCATCACATGGAGAAATCTTGTCTGAAAAATGAACCAAGAAGAAACAATCAGAGCTAACAGATGGAAAATATCTACCTACTTACCTACCTACATACATATTTTTAAAAAACTAATTTGAGTTGGGGGGTGTTCTTCTCCAGTGACCAAAAGTTCAGAGATATCAGTCCTTCAGTTCTTTTCAATAAATAGAAAATCGTTCTCCACAAGTAAAAAACAAAATCAAACC